AAAGCTAATTGGTGACTTGTTAATAAACAGAAATCTTGTATCTTCCTTTCTTTACGTTTTTAAAACTTATCATGTCAAACTGATTTGCTTACAAAAGCAGTAAAAGTTAAATAAAATAAAAAGTCGGGCTTTTTTTTCAGGTTCGGCCCTATAATTGCCGTTGGTCCGATGGGTCCGGGTGGGGCTCAGGGAGGGTGGTCTGCGGACTCGGTCCGGGTCAGACCGGATTTATTAGGCCAGAATGCAACTCTATCATGTAGATGGGCTGCCACAAGTTTTTCCAGCATTTTGGACAAAAATGAAATGTTGGCAACAGGTCTATAGTTGATAGTTAAGCACTACAATCACTTCAAATTAGCCTCTGTGCCTTTGAGGTAAGTTTGTCCATGTTTGTTTGTAATTGTAGGTCAAAATGCATTTTTATGTGGATATTTTTTTGTTAATTTTTCCACACATAAGTGACCAATGCTAGCAAAATAAGTCACAATGAGGAATTTTTCAATTTTGAGTTATGATTATTTTCACATTTTCCATTTCAAAAGCTTTAAAATGAAAAAACACATTAAAAAACACAGTTTGTTTAAATTTAATGATTTATCACTTGGCCTGGCAACAAGCTAGTTTTGCTTATAAGATTGCTTGCTGGTTTGGAAACTGTATTTTTATTGATCTGGAGTGATTTCATCAATAAAGCCAGACATATGTTAAAAAAGGGGAATGCCTAAGCTTAACAATATTGCCAAACAATATATGAAGGGATTTCCCTGCGCTACGGCACCCGGCAGAGAAAAATTGTCCTTTTTAAAGGAAATTATAAGGACTATAACAGGATTATTTCCGAAGACTTTAATGTCAGAAATCGTGGATTTAAAGGTGGATTAGGATCATTAAATGTTATTTTAGCTATTCTTTAACCTCCTAAGACCCAGACTCATGCATATGTGGATGCCAGGTCCTAGGAGGTTAAGGACTTTTTTTTTTCCAACACATCTCAGCCACTTCTTTTTGTTTAGTATTATTGTAGATTGAAGACATCTCAGCAGACACGGAGGACTGAGCAGTATGACCTAACTTTTCGCTCTTGTTTGGGGAATATTTCGATGCATGTTCACACACGCACATGGTTCTGCTACCCACGGCAGCCTGGTTTTGAACTGCCTGCAGCCCTTTGAGCTCTCCCCAGCATGTCTGCCCTGCCCTTTCTGTAGATACAGGCTAAACTTCACCATGGCAACTCTCTTGCCATGGTTACGCTTCCCAAACGTTGCAGTGACTCTGTTCTCGCACCGTGGTTACACACAAACCCCACAGTGTTGTTTGATTTGAGTGCTTCTGCTCCCTCAGAGAAATGTTTAGCCAGAGACTGGGTGTCCTCACAAACATGCCTGAGCTGTGTGCACTGGACTCAGGACAGAGGGTGGGTTTGTTTCCTGACTCTGATTGGTCAAAGGCACGTTCCAGCTGTACTGACGTCTCGCATACAATGACCAGAATTTATGAGCTTGGACATTTTAAACCACTTGATGACATTCAGTCTCATTTTATGACTAATTTGCATGACCATTTTTTTAACTTTATGACTTTGATGGTTATTTCTAAATCTGAGCTCTTGGTAAAAAAAAGATTTAAAAAACGTTTTGAAAATGTTTTTAAGGAATACATAATATTTTCTACGCTGGCTCTCGCTCAAGGTGGATGTTCCTGCCCTCCCTCCCATGTTCTCCTTCCTCCTGCTTTGTTCTCTGTGTGTTTGAAGCTCCTGGAACACATCTCCCGAACAAAAATTATGGATTTGGTGAGCTGGACTTCCAACGCGATCAACAAAATCTTTTCAACAAAACAACAGCGTCCTGGAGAATCCCCTTGTCCGGCTGAGAGTCATGCTGTGGGGTACGTCAGAGATCCGTGGGGAGTTTGGCAGCTGATGTGCCTCTCAGTTCTGTCACAGGACACTGAAGACATTTATATATTTGGATTTATGATAGCAGGGTTTCTGCTCTTTGGCAACGGCGAGGCTCTGTTCTGTCGACTTTTGAAGAGGACTTCGGCAGCAGTTTTGGCCATGACGACGCTTCCGAGTCAGTGTAAAGGTGTGATTCGTAATATGAGTACTCAAAAACAGCTGATGTATGAGATAAACCGTAAGATGGAGGCGCTTTGTGAGAATCGCAGGCCACCTTCGGCTTCAGGGACTTGTCAGCATGTTGGGATCGACCTTGAAGGAGTCTCATAACACGGATCAGTGGAGTGGATACCCATAAATTTGGCCATTTTGGACCGGAAAGTTCCAGCAGAAATCAAGACTGACAAGGATAAGGTTCTTATAAAAAAAAAATCAAAATCTGTATGCTTTTTTATAATTGTCTACTGTTGTTGCTGTTGTCCATTGTTGTCGTCATTCTTTGTTGAAATCCGGTCTCTCTTGTAAATGAGTCCTCGAGGGTCAATGGGATTAACCTGTCTAAATAAAGGTTGAATGAATGGCTTTTATTCTTCTTCTATCTAAAGAATTCTGATAAAGAGTAAGGTGCTGCGCTTTTCAGCAGCAGCAACGTGCACTCTGCCCATCTTTCGGACGACTGTACGAACATAATTTCACTGTATTTTGGTACAATGATAATAAAGCTTATTCTGATTCTGATTCAGTAGTCCCTTGCTACTTTGCGGTTTGTTTTTCACGGTCTCGCTCTATCGCGGTTTTTCAAATTAAGATTGGACATGACACACAATTGGCTGATTGATGGATGAGCCACACGATCGGCATAGATTTTTATTTTAAATTAATTATTTTAAATTATATAGCACCTGCTGCATGTTTGTGCAGCCCACACTGCAGAATATACAGGTTCTTCATGCTGCAGCTGATCAGCTGTTCTCCGTGAATAGTGGAGAAGTGGGCGTGGACAAGAACGGTTGAAGGTAGCTGAGAGCAGCTGAGACAGAGCGAGGGAAATCATGACATTCTGTTTTCTTTTAGATTGTTTAGAGTTTAGAAACATTATTTAGAAAATTGCAATAGTGTGGAAAGGGTTTAAAATGCCTCTCTCTCTCTCTCTCTCTATATATATATATATATATATATATATATAGAGAGAGAGAGAGAGAGAGAGAGAGAGACTTATTTTTGTTTAGTGTTATTGTAGATTGAAGACATCTCAGCAGACATGGAGGACTGAGCAGTATGATTGCTCAGTCCTCCGCAATCATACTGCGGAGGACTGAGTGTGTATATATACATTGCTATGTATATATACATATATGTATGTATATATACATACATATATATGTATATATACATACATATATATGTATGTATAATAGGGGTTGAACGAGTATATAATTTTTAAACTCGACATTAACATAATAAAACCCGAGTAGAACTCGAATATTTGGTGACGTCATAGATCTCAAGATACAAAAATAAATAAATAAATAAAACCCCAAAAAACGGTAATTATTAAAAAAAAAAAAAAAGACCAACAAAACATTGGGAGCATATATTATGCATCTACCATTTATTATACTGCAAATAAGTCACAGGAAAAACTAAACTATTGGTTATTATTATTAAACTGCAAACGTGAAGAAACGCAGCACGTCAAAAACGAAACTTAAACCGAAACTGGTTCTGGTGGATTGGACCTGGTGATACACCATGCTCTTCGACCTGCAACAGTGCAACACCGCCCTCTACGATCATACGGTGGTCACATAATATGACGTGACTACGGATAACCGACTTTACATTTTTAACATCGATAGATGTCCTAGCAATCGATGTGTAGATTACTCGAGTACTCTGTTAATGCCCTAATGTATATATACATACATATATATGTATGTATATATACATACATATATATGTATGTATATATATGTATGTATATATGTATGTATATAT